TGCTGACATGAATAAAGACACACAATCGTTTCATCCATCGCAACAATATTATTATCTTATTCACTGAATCAGATTTAGCGAAACGTATAACATAGATACGACAACCATCATTAGGGCACATAAAGAACAGCAACGATAGATAGATAGATAGATAGATAAGATAGATAGATAGATAGATAGATAGATAGATAGATAGATAGATAGATAGATAGATAGATAGATAGATAGATAGGACATGAATTGAATGAGACTGAAGAGAAAAGAAAAAGAGAACAACAAAAAATAATAATATATATTGTTGGGTGATTTTTCTCTTTTTTTTCGTTTTCTTCTGTCACCTTCACGTATTACAACAGGTCAGTGCAAATTTAGGTCAGCGAGTTGCGATTGTAGATAGAGCAGAAACCTCTCTCCCCTGGGCTCTTTTGCAAAATCAATGACGTCCTTAACAAACAAACAGCCTTATAAAACTTTAATTGACGTTTTGGGAAGCGAGGACGCAAGGGAGTGTATTTTCTATTGGCACAAAAGGACTTTTAAGAGAAAAATGATACTCTTTTTTTTTTTTCCTTTTTTTTGCGAAACGTGGCGTATTCAGAGGAAGTAATCGTGATTTACGGACGGGTTAATAGATTAACGCTTCATGGAGACCAATAGACTGAACTTTATAAAAGAAAATGGATGTTTATTTCTGTCCTCGTTCTCCCCAATTTTCCAAGCAATGCCAGTGAATATTCGTGACGTTTGCAATAACAACAAATACTCACACAAGGTGGATCTTGTTATTTTGTTAATTTATTTAGATGCAGCCAGAAGTGCCATCCAAGAGAACGTTCGGTAAAGATGATTGAAAGGGCCTTGCAGTCTTTTGTGTTCCCGTCATCCAATCAGCGCCTTTGACTGTAATGACGTCATTGCAATTACCTTATGAGTCTATCTTTAAAGAAAGCAGAATTATTTTCTCTGATGTTTGGCGATTTGATGAAGGCGGTGGAATATTTAGTGTGAAGTTTGTATTAACTTGAATGGAGGTGTCATCGCTTCCAACGTTTAAAGGAACTATATGTAGAGCAAAGTGTATCGAATATGAGAATATTATTTCCAATAAAGCTAATACAAGTCATCTGCGCTAGCTCAGTTAGCTGTGATTTCGACATTGTAACGTTGAGGAGATGACATGCAAAATATATTGTTCAGAAACGTGTTGTGCTAGAAGTTGATTCACCTGTGCAACGGATTATGTAAAACAATACTCTTTTAAAATTGAAAGTGAAACTATTGTCTCGGCGAAACGATATAATAGCAATCGTTGGGACGTCTGCTTCTTCAGTGTCATCATCACCATTGTCATAATCATTGTCATGATAGGATATCTGGAGCCGCAGTGAACAGAAAGCTCAAGAAAATTACATAGCAGCGTATTGCAATCTTCATTTATCCCTTTGGGTCGTGTTTATTTTTCTTTTCTTTTTTTTTGGGACTGAGAGCTTTGATAGTTCAGGTTTCTGGTTTGATGGACCTTTGTTTTCAAAACAACGTATTTAATACAACAACTGTGATTAACTGCTTTGTAAAAAGGAAAACAAACAAATAAACATAAGAGTGGGATAATTTCTTTAAAAGTCGAACGTACGAGTGACATACTCTCACCACCCAGTTTTTTTTTCATCTGTATTTTAAAAAAAATAAATTGTCAAGAATGAGTACGGTACCAGAAGCTACTACTCAATCCAGTGTGTCGAGCGAGTCCCTGGAAGTGACCCTAGTGGACATCGGCCTGTGCGTCTTCTCCGCACTTCTCTCCATCTTCGTCATCGGCAGTAACGTCATCACTATTCTGGCAATCTGGAAAACCGCCGCCCTCAGGTCTATCACCAACGCCTATGTTGCCAGTCTGGCAGTTACAGATATGATCGTCGGCTTCGACTTGATCCTCATGGCCCTCTTCATGTTACCCAACCTGAGAGCCGAGTTGTTTTACAAAAGCATCCACGCCTGTGTGCTCATGCAGGGTATCAGCATCGCCATGACAGTCCTCTCGGTAATCCACATGACCTTCATAGCTGTAGAACGTTACATGTACATCTGTAAACCTTACTTATATCCTCGAGTTGTAACCAAACGATTCGTTTCCTGCACTCTGGCTTTCGCTTGGACGTTTGGAATATTCTACGCCATTCTTCCGCAGTTCACGCATGTGCCGTATGGAGAAATACCTCTGTGCGACATCACAAAGACTTTGCGGATCGAGTACCTGTTCTACTGCATCTCAGCCATGTATTTTCCCGTAGTCTGCATTATCGTGGCCATGTACGTCCTCATTCTCCGAGTGGCTCTCCGACAGACCAAAGCCATCTCCTCCACAGTTCCCAGTGTCACAGGAGCCATCTCCCAACAAGGCAACACCGGCACCGGCGACCAACACAAGAACAGCAAAGACAACGCATCTAGACGAGCCACCTTGAAGAGTGTCAAGTTCTTCTTGACTGTGTTTGGTGTGTTCTTCGTCTGTGTCACGCCAACGGTTGTGGTTGCTGGTCTGGACTTTTACACGATGGTCCCGCCATCCCTGTACCGTCTCTTCAACGTAATCACTTTCATGAACTCCGGCATGAACTTCATCATCTACGCCGTTCAGAACCAGCAGTTCAGGGCTGCTTTCCTCAGACTGGCTCCCTGGAGCAAGGCTCGCTACTGACCTTGACATAGATCATTACTTGTTTTATAGAATAGAACGGGCTACTGAATGTTACCGTATGAACTCGCCTGGTATACGAGCGATTTAAAAAGTATGAGGCCCAAAATGTACACCTCCCTGTCCTGTATCATATGATGTAAGCGCCAAACACTGCCAGGGTCGAAAATTACTTGTGGTTTGTTACAAATCTGTAAATTAAAACATAATTAAATAAATATTATTATCATGGCGTGTTCGTTGGATTATCAGCCACTCAAGCCTCACAGATTAAACAAATCTCAAAGCAAAACAACAGTTTTTAAAAGTATGACACTAATATTATTTCGATGCCTTAGTGGTACGTGATTTAAGGGTCGACAGCATGTCAGAAATTCACCCAGAGCTACACGCGACCTACAAAAATGGGTCAGTCTTGGTGTTAGAAGTCCCCCCC